AAAAAAAAAAAAAAGAGTAGGAAAATTTGTGGGGCAAAGGAATGGGGACTAAGAATAGCTCCTGAGAGACAGGAGGGGTCCCGAATGGGTTGCCCCGGAGCCCATGTCTCAAAGGAAGTTTTACAGAGCAAACTCATGAGGCAAGTACAATGTGGCTCAAAATTCTGATTAACCAGTAAGATTGCAAGTAGTCACTTAGGTAATATTGATGTAATGGTAGCAAGGGCATATGGGTGACACCATTAACCTTGGTGGATAATCTGTGATTTTAGCAGTCTTAGTTGTTTTAGTCTTAGTCTGGGTGGGAGAGGATGACCCACTCCTAATGAGATAACAGGAAATCACAGAAAGGTGATACCAATAATCTCCAGCTTTTGTTTATCCCTTAGGGATGTAAATCTGGCCATAGTGACTTCAATCTTCAAATGTGCCTCCAGCCACAGTCCTGATGCATGGTCATCTTCTGCACTGACTCCCTCAAGGCCTGACTCTGACAGTGGCAAGAGAATCTCAAGTTTGAGCCCTGCCTGGGCAGTTTAGCAAGCGCCTATCAAATAAAAAATAAAAAAGGACTAAGGATGTATCTCAGTGAAGAGGTCCTGGATTCAATTCCCAGGACTGCAAATAAACAAGCAAAAACAAAATGCCCCAAAGAGGCAGTGTTTGCTATGAGCTAAGGTGGATCTGTCCAATAAAAATAGTGAAAATAAATTTTGAAAAGGCAAGATGTCGTCGGGAGTGGTGGCACATGCCTGTAATCCCAGCACTCTGGAGGCTGGGGCAGAAGGATCCTTGAGAGTTGGAGATCAGCTTGGGCTACAAAGTGAGCTCAAGGCCAGCCTGAACTGCATAGCGAGACCCTGTTTCAAAAAAACAAAAAAAAAAAAAGGCAAGAAGTTGTATGGACTCTTAGGACTTTTCTATCATCTATCTATCCATCCATCCATGCATCCATCCATCCTTCAGTAAAGGGGATTAAAGCCAGGGCTTTTGCATTAAGCTACATTCCCAGTCCTTTTTATTTTTTTTTTGTTTTGAAAAACAATCTAAGTTGTCCAAGCTGGGCTTAAACTTGCAATCCTCCTGCCTCAGCCTTCCAGAGTGTAGGGATTGCCACCATGTCCAGTGCATCTTCAAAGTATTAATGCCATATAATTTGCAACTTTTTTTGCAGGGGGAGGGTTGAGACAGGGTCTCAAAAACAAAAAATAAATAAACTTAGATTTCTCAGGATAGTAAGCTACAGTCTAAGCCCCAATGCTCTTTTGATCGTCACTCATATTTGGGCAGTGTTTCTGCATTCATCATCTTATGTGACTGTCATAATATACTAGAAATTGGACAGGTAGATTGAGGAAAACATTGGGTGGGAGGAACAATATTGACTATGCCTGCATCTGCTGGTTATTTTAAATCATATTCTCTCTGAATCTGCAGATTCTCTTTATAAAAGACGGACAGAAATTTGTTTGACCACAGTCCTCCGAGCCCCGCTTAGGAGGTAAACCACTGTATGTGTGGCTTCCGCATTTGCAGAGCCAACGGATCACAGACTGAAAATAGTCAAAAAAGAATTGCCGTATTGAACATGTGGTTTTTCCTTGTCATTTCCCTTAAACAATATAGTAGAATAACTGTTTACATAGCATTTACATTTTATTAGGAATATAGGTGACCTAGGGTTTATTTAAGGTGTATGTGAAAGCTGTGTAGGTTATAGCCAAACACTATGCTGTTTATTTATTTTTGTATTTTTGAGACGGGCTTGCTAAACAGTTCAGGCTGGCCTTGAGCTCACTTTGTAGCCCAGGCTGGTCTCGAACTCACAGCGATCTTCCTGCCTCAGCCTCCAGAGTGCTAGGATTACAGGTGTGCACCACCATGCTCGGCTTATTTATTTCTGAGACAGGGTCTTGCTATGTAGTCTAGGCTGGCCTGGAGCTCACTATGTAGCTCAGGTTGGACTCAAATTCATGTTGATCTTTCTGCCTCAGCCTCCCAAGTGCTGGGATTACAAGGGTACCCAGGCTGGTCTTGAACTCCTGGGCTCAAGAATTCCTCCTGCTTCAGCCTCCCCAGTAGGTGGGATGACAGACATCAGCCAATAGCACCCAGCTAGCTGTTCAGAGTACTGAGCAGATATATGATCTGACCTGGGCTGTTAGGGACAGATGTATACTGGGAGTGGACAATATTGCCACTGAGTTAGGACTCTCCAATGTACGTATTTATGTATGTATGTGTTACTGGGGATGGAACCCAGGACCTCACCCATACCAGCGAGTCTTCCACCACTGAGCTACACCCCCAGCCCTCCTACTGTGAACGATGGTGACAGGAACTGAAGTGGAGAAGACTGGGACACCAGGGGATGGCCTACAAACATTCTGCTTTGGACTTAACTTTGGGATGCCTTTTAAGATATCCAAATGGAGTTAACAAGTAGATAGCTAGATAGGAATTGAACTCAAAAGGTTAGACAGGAAAGAGATCTTGTACAGCAGTTTAACAATACCATTGAAAATCAAGGGACTAGGGGCCCAAGTGTGGTGGCCCTCAGGAGGCTGAGGCAGGAGGATTACTGCAAGTTCGAAGTCAGCCTGAATCCTCGTGAGACTGTCTCAAGAAACAAAAAATAACCAAGGGACTAAGGACCAATCTGTGGAAAGCACTCTTTAGTGATGGGCCCTTGTCGGGGGACTGCACAGCAGAGGGCTGCAGGAGGTGAAGCAGAGCCTAGGAGGGGCTAGAAGCCAAGCTGTAGGCCCATCTGCTTGGCCACCAAGGTAACCATCGAAGTGGTCCAGAAGCTCTAGGTGGACAGGGATGGCACAGGATGGCCAAGGATGTGGAGGCTATGCATGAAGGGCACCCCGTTATAGTCACCAACAGGAAGAGCCTCAGGGCTGTGGGGTGACTGTGTACCTGGGCAAGCAAATTCCTCAGGAGAGACTGCATCAGCGAAGGATGGCAAATGGGAGCTACGAAGGGAAGGAAGCCCCTGGGAATTTCTGGCTGGAGCAGGACTAGGAGAGGCGGCTACCCAGACGCTACTGATGAAGCTGATAGGGTACAGCCCAGTCTCGGCCTGCGCCTGTAGTGTCCGGCTGCTGCCCTAGACACCTGGCCTCTGACATCATCACTGTGCACACAGCACCACAGAAGGAAGAGGTATGAACACATCTGTGCCCAGGGAAGGAGGTGCGAGGTGCGCTCACTCAGAGGCGCTGTGGACAGAGGCCGTGCTGAGGCTGCGCTGGCCATGTTCCTGAAGAGCTGCCGCAGGACTGAGCCTCGGTGGGCCAGCACACTAGCTGCTGTCACCCAGGCACCAGCAACACGGCAGCTGTCACAGAAACCTCCAGCAAGGGCGGTAGCAGCTCAGGCTCTCAGCAGTACTTCATACCAGGCAGCAACTGGGACACTGATGTGCGCCTAGCCTGGCTATCCCAGAAATCATCCAGGTGTAGCATGAAACGGCCCGAGGACCTGAAAGCCTAAGCTCCTCGTCATTGTTGGCTTGCTGAGAGAAGTTCCCAGGCAGGGGGCGTAAAATTCGAATAGTAAACCTGAAAACAAGGTGCTCGTGAAAGAAGTTGGCCAACTGGACATGGCGGTGCATGACTAATCCTAACACTCATGAGGCTGGGGCAGGAGGATCAATCGTCCTGAGTTTGTGGCCAGGCTAACTACACAGTGACTTTAGTTCAACCCAAAAAAACAAAATTCTGCAAAACGGAGGTTACTTCTGTATTTATTACCGAGGCTTGAACCCAGGACTTTTGCACTCACCTACATTCCCAGCCCTTTTTAAATTCTGAGACACGTTCTTGCTGAGCTGCTCAGGCTGGGCTCACTCACACACAGTGACATGGTTACTTCTTCGCTTTCAGTCCCTTCTGGGACAGTACCCCGTCTCCTCCTGAGCTCTACCCCGACCATCCTCCTCTTCGCCCAGTGACTCGTCTACATTTCCTAACCGCACCTTGCAGCACTTCCTCTTCACAGTACTCCTCACAGTGATTATTAAAATAGGGATGATGAAGCCTTCATCAACTGTATCATCTTTGCCCATTCAAACAAGTTACAATGCATGCAGTTTTCCTTTGGTACTAAGAAAATAAAGAGTGACAAACATTTTTAAATTTAGAAATTTATTGTTTAATCCACAAGCTTCATATAGCTTTAGTTTAAAAAACAAAAACAAAAACAAAACAAAAACAGTGAAACCAAGACACTATTTCAAAGTCCGGGCCCTTCCAAGCTTCCAAATACAAGAGCTCTGAACATTATATAATCCCAATTGGAAGAGTAAGACAAAAATATGAATGGAGCCATGACATTTCAGAAAAGAAAGATTTCATATAACTGAAGGCTCGATCCTTCCTGGGACGAGCAACTGCCTTTACAAGGGAGAGGAGGGGAGGGAGGGGGCTGGTGAAGAGGGAGAGAGGAGGAAAAAGAAACCCAGAACACAGCAGAATCCAACTCCAGTGTTCGGAATCAACTTGTCACACAACCATATAAACCTAACGTCCTGGAGAACATGCATCCATTTTTCTGCTTTAACCTGGAGCTCGAATCCTGATTCATTTCAGCAGCGACTCCACAGGCACCAGGAAAGACTGTGGCATTAGAACATCCACGTACACTTTCGTGGTACTTCAACAGTGCTCTGATTTCTGGACAAGCTTACAAACCATACAAGGTTGGAGACATAACTTAAATGGGTGTGAAGACTCAAATGAGAAAAAGAAAAGGAGGGAAAAAAAAAGTAAAAAAGAAAATGGGGGAGCCCCCCTGGGAAGAGCCAGGGGCATTTAAAGAAACCATAAAAATGCCAACAATACTTAAACCCCTTTTTTTAAAAAAGAGATTTTTTTTTTGGCTTAAAATATTTTACTCTAAATGAATTTATGTCAGCTGTCAATGAAAAAATGTCACTAATACACTGTGGACACCTTTTGCAATGTAAATCCATGCCCCCCCTTTTTTATATGGTGAACTTCAACCTAGCAATTATTACAACAAATGTTATAGTCTAAAGCTCAAACACATTTTAGCAATTTTGAAATTGAATTGAGTACAAACCAAATAAAATTTACATCCTAACAAACATTCCCACCTAGGACTGTGGGGACACTTGAGCCTTCCGCATGGACCGCAGAGCCTTTTCCCGCAGGTGCTTCTCCAGGTCGTCCAGGTTATCCTCAGCTTCACTTTCAGTCTCCTGAAAAAGCCACCAAGAACCCAGGGTGCTCATTAGTGTGCCAGGTATGGAGATACGAGTGGGAGATACTGACTCAAGAGCAGAATCAAACTGCTGAGAGCTGCACAACCCTAGATATACTAAAACCCAGTAACTATGCTTTAAATACGTGAATTTATTTCAAAGAAGTTATTTTTAAAATGGAGCTGGATAAGGCCAGGTGTGGTGGCCCACGCCTGTGATCAGCACTCAGGAGGCTGAAGCAGGTGGATCACTCCAAGTTTGAGACCAGCCTGGGCTACAAAGCGAGCTCAAGGCCAGCCCGAGCTGCACAGCAAGACTTTGTCTCAAAAAGACAAAAAAAAAGGAGCTGGGGATGTAGTTCAGTGGGTATATACTTAGAATGAGCAAGGTCATAGGTTTGATCCCCAACACCAAAATAATTAGAAGATAAACTTAACTACATTAAGCTTTTAGGCAGCCCCTTTTGTTCCCATCCTTGGCCCCAGCAAATGCTTGCCCTTGGCAGGTCACCGAGAAACAGATCAGAATATGGCTGACTGCTAGGGAGCCAAGTGCCAGAGAAACTGATCGGGCTACTTCTCCAAATCAAACAGCTTCACTCTGCATAACCCCAGACAGAATGTACAGTCTGCAGGCACCTTCTTCGGCTCCGGGGCTGCCTCGGGCTCTTCCTGTGCTGATGTGGTTGTGGCAGCAGCAACAGCTGCAGGGGTGACAGGGGCCGTAGTGGGCGCAGCCACAGCCTTTTCCTTCTTGTGTTTTTTGTGCTTCTTGTGTTTCTTATCCTTTTTGTGTTTCTTGTCCTTCTTCTTCTTCTTTTTCTTCCCACCTCCTTCTTGATCAGAATTCTACAAATCCAGAAAAAAAAAAAGGAATATAATCAATCTGATCAGAGTTCTTTTCTAATAAAACTGAACTTTTGTTTTTTTGGTCTTTTTTGAGATAGAATTTCAGTATGCAGGTCAGGCTGGCCTTGAACTCACAATGATCTTTTTGCCTCAGCCTCCTGAGTGTTGGGATTACAGGAATGAGCCATCACACCTGGCTGAAACTGAACATTTTAACTCCTCAAGGAAATACTAAAATGGACAGATCTGCAAATTTCACAGAGGTTTTAGGACAGGAAAGAAGGCACAAGGCCAGCCGCCACCAAGAAAACCATTCCTAGAGATGGGAAACAAAAGCTAAGATATAATCCACATCCAGTATTTTAGGAACAGTAGATGGCTGAAGGATAACTGACTCCTACAATTAACCCCATCTAAATTTATATTAAGCCAGGTTTCCCCACTTTATGTGAGCCAGGCCACCAGGAATGCAGTCAAGGGCTAACTGCAGATGAGCTGACATCCACCTTCTGAACTTGAGGATTAGACAGATATCATGTCAGCTACTGGTAACACTTGTCTATCATGCAGCAGGCTTTCACTAGGGTACGTATGAGTCTAATCACATTCCTGTAATGTCGTGTCACCATCTGACCTCACCTAGAAGAGGTAGGTTTCTTCACCTTCATGCACATACAGAGATGTGTCTCAATTTCTGATGGGCCTATACCCCCATAAACCTGTAAATCCTAATGTAAGCTGAGAATATGCAACGTGAAAATGCCCTCAATACACCTCGTATTAAACATCATGGCTCAGCCTACCTCAAACATACTCAGATCATTTATAATGCCTATATATATATATTTTTTTGTTTTGTTTTTCTTCCGGTACCAGGAATCGAACTCATGACCTTGTACTTGCCAGGCAGGCACTGTGCTGCTGAGCTAAATCCCCAGCCCCTTATAATGCCTATAAATGGGCAAAATCATCTAATGTAGAGCGTACTGTATGATGTACTCTATCAAATCCTGTACTCTAGGTGAAAAACAACAGTACTTCAGATCACTAATCTGTGAAAAGATCCAACTTCAAAGTATGGCTTTTGCTGAATGCACATGCTTTTCACACCCACTGTAAACTCAAAATTCTAAACTGAACCACGATAGGCCAGGAACTGTACACCAAATTTTTCAAAGGACAGTTATAATCTTTACTTTCTTAGTGCTAGGGCTTGAATCCAGGGCACTAGCTTCACTCTCAGCCCTTATTAACTCATAAATCTCACATTTCTAAGCAATTACTTAAAATTCTTCATAATCTATCCAGTTAGCTTGCACAATTCAGTTAACTAATCACTGACTACCTAATACAGAAACCAGTTCAAGACCAGCTTTATAACTCACATGGGGAAAAACACTAACTCACAGTGTTTTAACAGTCTAGTACCACTTTCTCTTTTCAAGATAACCATATACAAATTTACAAAGGCTGTCCCACACAGGCAGATACACACCCTGGCTGGTGATGGGCTTGGCGTTGGGCTTTTAGCCTTTTTGATCGGCACCGCAGGGGACCAGTTTGTAGAGGGTGACTGCGACTGGACAGGGGATGGAGGTGCTGGGGGCTTTTTAGCTGCTGGCTCAGGAGATCCAGAGACAGATCGAGAGGATGAAACCCTCCTTACAGACTGCGGACTTGGTGAGGCCGCCCTAGATGCAGAGGAGAAAATAACAGTAGTGAGAGACTTCCATTCTTCAAGATAATCAACTATAATGCACTGTACAATCAAGTCACCAACTCTGCACTTTTTATACCATGCCAGTTCTACTAACTTTTGCTGAGTTACATCCTGAGCCCTTTTTTATTTTGAGATAGGGTCTCAGTTAAGTTGCTAAATTTCCTAGACTGGGCCTGAATTTCCAGTCCTACTGCCTCGACTCCCAGAGTTGCGAGGGTTATAGTTGCTGCCACTAAGCCGGGCTCACGTATCAAATTTACATCACGTAGTACTGAGCCCTACAATCTGTTCATGACGTTATCTGTATGAAAACAGTAAGCCAAATCTTTACATTTTACTTAAGACCGGTTTCATCTAAATCACACAAAAACAACAACTGTGTACATCACATCAGCTTAGTTTTGGACAGTCATTTCTCAAAAAACCTGATATTGCCAGGGTGGTGGTATATGCCTGTAACCCCAGCACTCTCTGGAGGCTGAGGCAGGATCACCATGAGTTCAGTGACAGCTTGGACTACACAGTAAGACCCTGTCTCGAAACAAAAACAAAAAACCTGATACTACTAAGAACCAGGTATTATTCTGTGGTATTTCACTTATACTATACAAAACTTCTCAAAATATAAAAGAATCTACAAGATGTTTCTTTAATAATTTATATTCAGCTTATCCCTTCCTGTAACTTCTCAATAAAAGGAAGTTTCCTCATAAAGAGGCATGCAACTAAGTATTCCTAACAAAAATAGCATAAAATAGTTTTACTTTTTTGTCTTTTTAAGTTCTGGAGTTCTGGAGACTCTTCTAATGGGCCTGGTACTTGGAGATGGAGACTGCCTCCTTTGGGGTGAGGCCGATGTTCCTCTTCGAACAGGTGGAGGACTTGAGGTCTGAGGAGCTCGCGGCCGCGGTGAGGGCGAATGTCGTTTGTTTGGTTGTGGTGACCGAGTCTCCCTGGGAGCGCGGCTTGGGGAAGACCCTTTCCTATGCTTTGATGGGACAGATGGTGAGCGTCTCTTGGCAGGTGGGGAGCTTCTTTGTTTGGGCGGTGGAGAGGGGGAGACCCGGCGCTTTGGTGGTGGGGATGGCGATACCCTTCTCTTAGGAGGGGGTGGGGGTGAAGCCGCTCTTCTCTTTGGAGGTGGAGAAGGAGAGTACCTCCTCTGTATGGGAGGAGAGTACCTTCTTGGGGAAGGCGAGCGCCGCCGAGGGGCAGGTGAGGGAGTCCTAGGAAAAACACACATCATTAAGCTAGACGGCCCAACAGGATCAAGACAATGCAAAAAGCCAGAGTAAACAATAGCTATGGCTATCCTGCAGTTAACACTGGGCTAATGGTGTACACTTCTAAGTGGGCATGCCATACTTTTATTCACATTTAGAGTAAAAAAAAAAAACAACAGAAAAATCACAAAATAAATCATAAAGCTCTGATATTACCATATAACTGCTAGCTAACCACAGCAGCAGGACTCTTGTTTTCAGCCAACTCCCTCAGGAAGTCTGCTTTAGAGGGCTAACCTGTGCAGTGTCCTCTCTGAACTGGCATCTGCATTCTAGATTAATAATCAAGAGTTCACTACACAAGCTTTAAAGATACTCCTACTTCTTTTCAAAGAGAAATGTCCCACTTTCTATCTCAAAAGATCACTATTCAATGGAAGCCAACCACTGGGTAGAATGTATCTCTATGAAAGCCCAACCCAGCCTTTCTTGTAATATGTGATTCTGACATAACCCTGATGTACCTCTTAGGAATCAAGACTGGAACACAGCATTCAGGCCCAACTGTTTAAATCTCTTGGGCCTTTCAGATGCCCAGCTCAAAATAAATTCCTACCCATAATCAGGTCAACAATGAGCCAGTTTTGGAGCAGTGTTGTAGAGTATGGTTTCACTGTTCCACTTGGGTAGTTATTTAGTAACTGCAAACCTCAGTTTCCTAACCAGAAAAATGAGAATACCAGCTACCAAGCAAGGTAACCTTGAGGACTACAAGTAAAGTTTCTAAGGCACTTAACACTCTGCCTGGCATATAAAAGGCACTGAAGAATGGTAGATAGTCATTGTACTGCTTGGCAATGTGTTTCAGCGATGCCATTGAAATGTTTTCCTTAGTTTTTATTTTAAAATAATTCTAGACTTACAGAACACTTACAACAGCAAAGATTTCCCACAAAACCATGTTAGTATCTATAAAAACCATTAAAACTTCCTTCAGTACTTAGTATTAATCAATGATGACCCTGTTTTCCACTAATGAATATCCTTTTTCTGAACTACAATCTTAGATCTCCTTAGTGTCTACCAAATTGTGATTGTTCCTCAGTCTTCCAGGACTGACATTCCTGACGGGTACTGTCTACTTCGGGTTGTAGAATGGGTCCCCCGGCTACAGATTTGGCAAGACTATTACACAAGTCTCCAGAAAACACAGCGTACCAGAACGTATCAGTGAGGGTGCTAACGCTGTTAAAGAGGCACATATCAGGCACAACTCTTGTACAGTACTGTACAGTTACGATTTTCTCCCTGTAGTCACTAACTAGCCATACCAACCACTTATTTAACCTCTTTATGTCATTCACACACTCTTACAATGTGCCCATTTAAAAAGTGCGATTCGGGGTTTCAGCATTTACATGGATGCACAAGTACTGCCACTCTCCCTTGCTTCCATCCCACCCCTACCCCACTAATCTCCTTTCCATTTCTATGTTTTGAGCTTTTCGTTCATAGGAAAGTATGTGGTCTGTTTTCGACTGGTTGAGCAGTGCAGTTCTAATAATCAAGTCTCATCACAGTTTCAGAGCCACTCCACTGGCACCCCAAGTACCTTCGTCGTGGCGGTGGCGTGGGAGATCTGCGCCGCCGAGGAGGAGGAGCTGGTGAAGGAGAGCGGCGTCTTCTGGCGGGCGGAGGGGTGGGGCTTCTCCTTCGTCTACCGCTAAACCAAAGAATAACAGTTGATTTTGAGTCAGCAGCATTAATAATTAAGTGCCCCAGAAAACATACTTTTCGTTACTATTAACTTTTTAAAATGATAGGTCAAGAATGTAGGAAAGACTTGACATTTAAAAAAATTACTGTTTCATTTGTGTTAATGATAGTTTTATGAAAAAAATTTGAAGACTTATGCACTCCTTTTTAATTAGGATGCAGCACTGTAATCACCTGGGGAACTCACATTTTTGCCTACCAGGTCTTGTTAAGTATAGCCAGGTGTCTTTGGAAAAGGCTACAGGTGATTCTTACTCCTTGGTGGGACCTACTGCTTTACAATCTCTACAGAAATTTAAAATGTTAATAGTTGCCAGTAGCTTAAGACCCAATTTTTTTGGCGGGTGTGTGTGTGTGTGGGGGGGGGTGTGGGTCCGGGTCACTGCTACAATTTTTTTTTTTTTTTTTTTGTACCAGGAATCGAACTCTCAATCTCACGTTTGCCAGGCATACAAATTCTTAATGTTCTAAAATATGTCTCCATTGTTTGACTTGTACAAAATTTCCTAAAAACACTATTCCAAAGACAAATGACCAAAGGTGTTACAAAACAAAGCTACCCTGGGGCGAATGTGGGTTAAAATACAGTTGAAACAAACAAAAAAAAAAGATGAAAAAAATATATAGAACAGATGCCAAGTGCGGTGGCATACAGTTGTATTTCTAGCACTCTAGGAGGCTGAGGCAGAAGGATTGCCAAATTTAAGCCCAGCCCTGTGTCTCAAAAAAAAAAATCGAGTCACAGAAACCTTAATTCTGAACTGTTACACATTTAACCAATACAAATGGTACATATAAGAGCACACCAATAGTAGCCTTGTGACAGACTTATTCAAATATAGCGGTGCTTTGGTTTAAAGACTTAATTTGTTCTACAATTTTGGAAAAGATGGCCACATCTGTCTGTGAACCAAACTGTTTGTGAACAATAACATTCATGAACCGAAGTACCACGTATTTGTCATCTTTTAGCTAAGTTCACATATACAAAGTAGTTTTAAATTTTTTCGCCTAGAACATGAGAATGCTTCCTGTGAATATGGAATTAGTTTCAAGTGTTTGCTAGGTCTTGGTTTCCCTTTGAAACTAAGGAAGCCAGGCAACATAGTGCAGGCCTATAATCCTAGCAATGAGGAGGATGAGACAGATCACCATGAGTTAAGGCCAGCCTTGGTCTGCATAGCAAGACCCTGTATCTCAAAAAGCCAAACCAAACCCAAAACCCAGAACTAAGAAAAACTTTATTAATGGACACTCTCCTTAGTTAGAAGAAAAACCCCCAATTTAATGATAAATTTAGTTTCCAATTTAGATTCACTTCTGGTTTGTAGGAACTAATACTGCACTTTGAATACTCAATATATAAAAATTTCTTTTTTAAAAAAATGTATAAAATTTTCAAAACCAAGCTGGGTATGATGGCGCACACCTGTAATACAAGCACTCAGGAGGCTGAGGCAGAGGAGTATCACCCCAAGGTCAAGGCCAGCCTGTGTTAAGGCTGGCCTGAAACATATAGGGAGGCCCTGTCTTAAAAAAAAAAAAAAAGTCAAAGCTAGGCCCTATTTTCCCTCCTAAAAAGACACTGAAGTTCAAATTCAAATTATTTTTCTCTAAATTCTAAGTAACTGATACAATTTCTAATAGCAATGAACTTGAAGCTACAACTAAAACTAGTTTTTTGTTTTGTTTTGAGATAGGGTCTCACTACGCATTTCAGGCTGGCACTGAATTCACTATGTAACTGAGGCTGGCCTCAAACTTGCAGCAACCCTCCTGTCTCAGCCTCCTGAGAACTGGGATTACAGGCATGTGCCACCATACCTGGTGTAAAAATAGTTTTAAAAATAAGAACAAAACAAAAACACACTGAAGCAAGGCAATGAACATTAGTTCTGGTTTCACTGTTGTGAGGACTCTTTCCAGACTACCAAGTAGTTTCATAGTGGGGAAAAAGTGGAAGAGAAAATCAAACCACTAACCTAATATTGTAAAGCAAGTTTTAGTTGTTAGCAATTTCACAGAAGCCAGAGGTCACTGTGGCTGGGAAAAAAGACTGTAGCATCCAATTTACCCTTTTTAGGTTTCTATTTTTTATTATCAAGAAACAGCTCCCTCTACAATGTAAATAAATGCCCAGCTTTGTTCCATCACAAACAGTGCTGACCGGCTCCAGGAGAGCTCTTCTAAGAATACACTTTTATTAATGAGATTACCTAAAATGAGGCTGCATCAAAACCTGAGGTACAAAGAGGGCTGGGGGAAACAGCTCAGTAGAGAGCTCTTGCCCAGTATGCATGAGGCCCTGAGTTTGATGCCCCGCACTGCACCAAAAAAGAGGTAAATTTTACCAAGGACATTTACTAGATAAAAGCATCCCTAACCTGAAAACCCCAAATGCTCCAAAAGCCAAAACCTTCTGAATACCTTATTATACCCAAGTTTTGGATTTCACATTTTCAGATTAGAGTTGTTCAACTGGAAAAGTCTATGCCAATACTCCAAAATCTGAACAACTTTTGGCCCCCAGCATTTTGGATAAGATATTCAAACTGCAATTAAATATTTACTGAGCCAGATATGGTCATGCATGCCTATAATCCTAGCACTTGTGCGGCTGAGGCAGGACTGCTGTGAGTTCGAGGCCAGCCTGTTCGAGGCCTACAAAGTGAGTTTAAGGCCAGTCTGAACTACACAGTGAGAGACCTTGTCTCAGAGCACTAAAACAACAACAAAATTTCATTACTGGCAGCTAATGCCCTCTACAGTAGAAAACTGGTTCAAACTAGTGTATTTATAAAGTCAACAGTACAGGTCTAAGTCCTGGCTTATAGGTATAGTGGTGCATGCCTGTAATCCCAGCACTTGTACTTGGGAAGCTGAGGCCAGCCTAGGCTACAAAGTTCAAGGACAGCCTGCACTACACAGTAAGATTTTGTCTTAAAAAAAAAAAAAGGTACTAAGTTCTGGCCTTGTCACTTTGTGACCCTAAGAAACTCACTTTACTATATTCAGGTCCCTGTTTTCTCACTTATGAGATAGGCCGGAAATGCAGCTCTGAAATGTTACGCACAATCACTAATACATAACAAACAATGAAGGGGCTGGGAATTTAGCTCAGCGGCACAGCACCTGCCTGGCAAGCACAAGGTTGTGAGTTTGATTTCCAGTACCGGGTGGGGGGGGTGGCCCACAAACATAACAAACCATGAAAAAGTTTCAATAAAGACACGCAACCTGCTTTTCTACTACTGGGAAGACTGAATACAGCTGAAAACCTACCTTGCAGGGAGACCTGCAAACGTCCCCCTGTGCAGTTCAGGCTGGCCTTGAGCTCACTTTGTAGCTCAGGCTGGTCTCGAACTCACAACGATTCTCCTGCCTCAGCCTCCCGAGTGCTGGGATTACAGCGTGCGCCACCACGCCTGGCTTTTTAAAGTTTCTTCATAAAAGTTTTTTGCTTTTTCTAAAAGTCATCACAAATACAAAGTCCCTCCCCACTAAATCTAAGGGGTTTAGATTTCTTATTCTTGGAAAAGACCTATACACTGCTAAAACTATGTGTACTTCTTGATGTAATTTGAAGCATATATTGCAAGAACGGTAACCAGACAATCAAAATTTAAATCAAGAAAACTTGGGAACTTCTCCATAGCCACAGCCACTCTAAGTACAGTATGACCACCTATATAGGAAATTTATTCACTAACTTTTGGTATGTAACCCTAATTTACAAAGTAGTATCTAACCAACCTTTTAGTCACTGGCGATTGCCATCGCTTTCCCATCTGCATCCTGAGAGCAGCGGAGAAAAACAAATGTCAAGAATTCCATTCACTAAATTATTTACTTCACCGGAATTAAATCACACTGATGGAGAGACTTTTACGTTTTCAAAGACATATGGGCGTTAATGTTATTACATCAGTGGTTTGTTCTCCCAGTCATGGACATACATATCACTGTTTCAAACTTACCAAGCTCTCATTCAATACTAGTAACTAACAACAAAAGAAAACAAAGACCCAAAAATATGAAAACCCAAACAAACAAAACCTGACTTCTTCATTAACCAAATTCTAAAATAATCCCTCAGCCCTCCCTTTAAGTTATGAACCTTCATCATAACTATATAGTGTCAGCAAAGACTATTAAACAAAAGACATTACCGAGGGGAAGTCTCTTTCTGGCGCTTTCGGGGTGATGGAGATGCACTCCGGGAAGGGGAATGTCTCCGCCGCCTGCCCACCTCACCATTTTTCACATGGGATCGCTTGGGTCGCTCATCTTCAGAGGAAGAGGAGGAGCCAGAGTCTACAATTACACAGCAAAGGAAAATGTTACATGATATCTGTGCTTAACAGAGGCTGTCCAAGTCTTTTGAGTCTAGCGTAAGTAACATTTATACAACCCACAAGTTTTGGACAAAGACAGTATCAATATATGCTCAATTACTTCAAAGCCAAGCCTATGTAAATATACATCATACAAAGTATCATTTCCATAGGACAACCCAATCAAGTATCAATCAATGATAGTCTATGAGCACCTCTTAAAGTCTAGTGATTTTCCAAATAACCAAGTGAGAAGGCACCTCCGGAAATAACTTGATCTCACTGCTCTAAGCTCTGAATGCTACTGGGTGGGTAGGGTAGTCTGACCTTTATAGTGTAAACGAAATGCAAAAGTAATGCCTACTCAATTAGCAAATAAGCTAATAGTAACAGAGGACCTGGATAAAGAACCAGGTTTCTGTGCAATTTCTTGTTTGCTTTTTGAGACAGGATCTTACTGTATTGTTCAGGGTGACTCTGAACTATGTAATCCAGGCTGGCCCTGAACTTGTGGTGATCCTTCTGACTCCATGTCCTGTGTAACACTCTTTAATCTAACAACTCCAATTCTAATTTTTACAGATATATGTGCATAAACACATACACAAGGAAATAACCCCCAGAAACAACCTTAAGAGTTTTTATAAGAATATACCGTTAATTGGGGCTGGGTAGCTCAGTGGCACAGCACCTGCCTGGCAAGCGCAAGGTCATGAGTTTGATCCCCGGTACCAGAAAAACACACACACACACACACACACACACACACACACACAAAATATATATATATATAAAAAAAGAATATACTGTAATTTATTACATCAGTTGCCTATAGTCAAATGGCTCAATAAATTATGGTATATTCTTATAAAAAAACACTGCAGCTGGCAAAAGAATGAGGTAGACTCCTGAGAATAAGGAAAGATGTTCTGCATATATAGACAGGTTTGTTTCTCCCCTTTAAAGCTATATATATATCTGGATATGCACAAATATTTTCTGAATAGAAGCTTTTGGTGGATGAGACTGGGGACTGGACAAAAGAATTAAACTGTTCCTTTTTTTCTGAAACTGATTTTGATTTTTTGTTGCGACAAGGTCTCGCTGTATAGTTCAAGCTGGTTTTGAACTATGTAGCCAGCCTAGCCCAGGCTGGCCTCAAACTCATGGAGATCCTCCTACCGAGCCGCCCAAAGGTTGGGATTACAGGTGTGCCAACAAATGCAGTTTACTGTTCCATTTTTAAAAACCATTTTGTCCCATTCCAGATTTCTTGTAGGCACAAATACTTCTCTTACGTATAATCACTACACACTGATGGGCAGTTACCATTCAAGCATCTGTTACTTTAAAATGCAGGTCAAAGAGCTAATCAGTGTCTCACCAGATGAAGACTGCTGGTTCTGTCGTCTGTACTGGCGTCTCTGCTGCACAGAATCGGCTGCAGCCATTTTGCCACCTTTATCTTCTTCTAGAAGATGGACACATTTAGAAAGTGTTTCTTTAGTTATCCATACAGATAGTTTCAACACTCCAATAGTCTCTCTAACCTTTATCTAGTTGGGTCAGGCAATACAACCACAATGTATCATCAAAATAACCTTATTTAGGGATTACAGGTCAGGCTGAAAGTCAAACAATTCACTGTCAGAATCTGCATTTTTCGGGCTGAGGATTTAGCTCAGCTACACAGCGCTTGCCTGGCAAGCACAAGGTCGTGAGTTTGAGTCCCGGTACCAGAAAAAAAACCAAAAAACAAAAAACAAAAAAAAAAGGGATCGGCATTCTTCCTATTTCAGATGGAAAAAAACCCAACTCAGATGAATTAATTAAACAAAAAAGTCATTAGTGTTAGAGCTGGGGATTCCAACCAGGTCTACCTAACTTTAGTCTTAGTTCTTCCACAGTAAGCATAACCTAATTAAGGTTCAATCAGAAAGGAATAACCAATATACAGGGGCAAAATCAACTTGAAAAAAGTAACAAGACTTACCAGATTCAGATAACTCTACTTTTCTAGGCTTTGGTGCTGGTGATGGTGATTCTCTTTTCTCAGTACCTTTATGTTTTGTCACTAAAAAGTGAGGGGAAAAAAAAAAAACACAACTCACATACAATAAGGACAACACAAGATGCCTTCTTAACAGTACAAAAAAACCTGGTATGTCCATTCCCAAAAAGAATTTACTAAGAATTTCCATCTTCTCAGGCACCTTTAAAAGTTTCGTGAAAAACTTTAAAAGTGTCTACAGTAATTTCCAAATCTTGAGATTTTAAAAGAGCCAACAGTTACGAGAAACTGGGAACTGTTACCAAGTAGCTTTATGCTGCCTGGTACAATGAACTCAAGAAAGCAATCTGAGGGTAACTCAAGTACCACAACCTAACACAAACACACACTCAAACTTCAGAAACTCCATCAACACAGCTTTCAAAAAACCACTGCACACACACATACAACCAAAACACCACCGTGCATGGTTTCAGAAAAGCAGTAAAGATATGCAATAAGCAGCTCACAGGCTGGGGGCAGCGGCACACGCTAGTACCCCAGCAGTCTGGGAAGCTTAGGTAGGAGAAGTATATTTGAGCCCAATATGGGGAATTTGTTTGTTTATTTTTGTGCTAGGAATCGAACTCAGGACCTCATGCTTGCTGGGCAGGTGTGTGTGCCACTGAGCTACATCCCCAGCCCAAGGAATTTAGCAAGACCCTGTAACAAAATAAAATACCTGTAGACGTAGGCCTGGGTAAAGGCTCTGAGTTCAACCTCCCTCCCCCAAACCAAACTTTTGAAACTTACGGGAAAAGATACCTGGTCTGACAAAGATAAATAATTAGCCACCCAAGAACTGCAGGCTCTTATGTAGCACAAAATGTTCAGAAGATCATGGGAGAGTTTAATATCCATATAATCACAATTGTAAAAATTATTCAAAACTTCCAACACAGCTCTGCTGTGATAGTAGGATCACCTGATGATCTTGTAATCACCTACACAGGAAATTACAGCAACTACCTTTTATATTGGACCCATGGCTTACAAACTCAATGCGTTCCCAAGGGCTGTTTGTAACACGAGTTGTCAACTGAAGGCTCAGGCTTCTCTACATAGCCCTCAGAGTCTCTCCTGCAACCAGGCAGAGCTCTATCCCTAGGTATTGGCCCAGAATTTCTCAATTAACCCCATACAAGAAAGGATGCTGTAATGTTCCTTCCAGAGTGCATTAGGAATTAAATTGGTATCTGGGACCATCTGGAAGCACAAGCAGCCAGCAGTCAGGTCATAACTCAAGACTCTGGTCATAAGTGAAAACTAAATTCTGGTTATAACCTGAGCTGTTGGTACGCCAAGCCGGTCGTAACTCAAAGGTGCACTGCATGCGCCTGCTCTACCACAGCCACTATTAGGCACTGCTCTCATTCTCTTCCCTCTGCTCCACTTTACAGGAGACACCTGAGCCTTAAAAGGAGTAAGTTTACCACAGTCATAAAAGCACGTATGTGAGTCAGAATATGAACCCAAGATTGTTTTCAGGGCATCGACCGTGTGAGTCCCAACAACTACTCTCAATATCGTTCCACTACAACAAAAATGTTAAGTACACGCAATTATAACAATCATACCACAGATTAACTGAAACACCCTCTCTAATACATACATCTATAGATAATGTGATGCCCTGGGGATTCTTTTTATTTTTGGTCTTTTTGAGACAGGGTCTTGCTCTGCAGTTCAGGCTGGCCTTGAGCTCACTTTTAGCCCAGCCTGGTCTCGAACTCGCCACGATTGTCCTGCCTCAGCCTCCTGAGTGCTGGGATTACAGGAGTGCGCCACTATGCCCGGCAAAGCCTCTATTTTTAAGTGTAATTCTCAATTTCTGTAAAAAGAGGAAGTCAGCCATAAAACCAAACATCCAAGTTACCACCTTTGAGAATTAAGTTTCAAAACTTGTTTTGGGAGCTGCTTTTTAAGATAGAATATATTTCCTCTAAGAAATGTTAAAAATATGGTTATGTTTGCAAGATAGTTGGTAAATGTCTACTTAGCAAAGAATGTATCCCCCGCTCCAACGGAAAGAAACATTTTATCATGATTTGAGCTTTTAATGACTCAGCTGAAAGTGTATTTAATTATTAATGTTGTGGATTTCTTTTTTTTGAGACAGGGTCTTGCTATGCAGTTCAGGATGGCCTGAGCTCACTTTGTAACCCATGTTGGTCTTGAACTTGCAACAACTTTCCTGCCTCAGCCTCCAGAGTGCTGGGTCTATAGGCATGACCATACCTGCCAATACAGCATATTTAACATGGCTACACTTATTTAAACAAACTTGGAAGTACCACTATCAAAGGGGCAGCACTTATGAAATACTTCATTGAATAATGCACCATTTCATGTGCTAAGACAAAGCCAACTGAACTGCGATGTACTTCACAAGATCCCTTTTGATGATACTGTACACTGTACTCCAAGTAATTTCCCTCCAAGTTCCCCCAAATACTTTCCCTCTCCCTCCCACTTTTTTGGCCCACAGACAGCAGAACCCTTGAACCCTGAGTATATCCCATGGAATACAAATGTGAAATCTCTCACATTTCAACGGTCCCACTGCTCTGATATGAAATAGAAACCACAATGAAAGAATTTCTAAAATTGTGCTTCTAGCCTCCTTCAGCAATCAAAGGCATTTTAAGGGTAGGAAAGCTAAACAAAATATACATTACACAGCTAGGAATGAGAATATTTAAATTCTATTCCTGGCTGGCTCATCTGACCAAGCCACTTATTGTAAGAACCTGTTTCTTGATAACAATCTCTAAGGTCTTTTGTAGCTTTCGAATTTCATTACAGGGCTAGGATCATTTTAATTACAATATAAAAAAAGGTGGTTTCCATAGCTCAAATCATATTCGGCTTCAGAGGATACAATACAGCCTCTGACTACACTGCCTATAGTGTGTTTTTAGCAGGCTTTTGTTTGGGCAGGGAAACCTTGTTTCAGAACCCACAAAAATACTAGTGCCTTCTCCTCCACCATTATTTTTCTCCTATGCATATACCCACTGTTTCTTTGTTAACAGCAAAAGTCAAAACATAAGAGGTTGGTACCTATGCAACCTCATTCATTCATTCATTCATTCATTCACTCATTCAGTTTTTTGAAACAGGGTCTCATTATGTAGCTCAGACTGGCCTCAAACTCACTATATAACCTAGGTGGCATCAAATGTGTGGCAATCCTCCTCCCTTAGCCACCCAAGTGCTAGGACCTGTGTAACCTCTTTTAAAAAGATAATACTAGGGGCTGGGGATTTAGCTCAGCGGCAAAGTGTCTGCCTGGCAAGCGCAAGGTCGTGAGTTCGGTTCCCGGTACCGGAGAAAAACCAAAAAAACAGATAATACTTCTTAGCGCTTACGCTATTTTAACAAGGATTCAGTTCATCCATTTAGGTACTTCTGTAACCCCATGGCTATATGATAAAAATGGAAAAACTATAACCTGATGAGTTTTTTCAAAGCAATGACAGGAACATTTGTATTTTTTCCCTAGAGTGTTTTCTGGTTCTAAAGGATAAAATATTCAGAATTGCAAACTTCACAGAAGAAAATACATCAGTGCAGCAAGCATCACCATGAATGGTCTGAAATTTCCCAATTTTGAACAGAAATGCACGAGGTTGTAAAATGTGACACTGAGACCTTAATCCCATACTTAATTGATCACATTTTACATATCACCAAATTAACTTCATGCTAAAATTAAAAACAGCCAGGCATGCTGGTGCATAGTTGTAATTGCAGCACCTGGGAGGCTGAGGCAGAAAGACTGCCACAAGTTCAAGGTCAGCCTGGACTACACAGTGAGAACCTTCCTCCAAAAACCAGAAACAGCCTCTCACTCAAATGAAAGCCAAAACATTACTTTTTACAGGCAAGTTGCCATTATAGTATTTGCTAGTCCTACTTCCACTCTGACAGTTGATCTTATTTTGGTGGTAGGGGGAGGTGTAGGGGTTGAGACAGGGTCTCATTATTTAGTTCAGGCTGGGGTTGAAATCACTGTGACTCTTCTACCTCAACCTCCTGAGTGCTGGGATTACAGGTATGCGCCACCACCCCTGGCTCTCCCCATTTATCTGTGCCTTCACTGTAACAGAGGTCAAAAAAAGTGAAGTGAAGTTAGCCTTTCTAAATATTATCACGCTGCAGAGTCTGGGGAAAGGAATGCAGCAAGAGCACACGTAGGGTAACTGACTAGAAATTCTGGTGTCATGCAGCTCATTATACTAGGAAAATTTTGCCAACATCTATTTGCTTGTTTCCAATCTGAAAACTTTAATGTCAACAGAACACAAGCATGTTAACCTACAGATTGCTCCCTAAAATCCAATTACTACTGTGGTGGGTTTTTTTTTTTTTTGTCTTATGCGAGACTCACTCTGTAGCCCAGGCTGGCCTTGACTTTCAACGATCCTCCTGTCTCAGCCTCCCCGAGTGCTGGGAATACAGGCTTACAGGGGCGCACCACCACACCCAGGCTGTGGTAGCTTTTGTAGTCCTTCCTGCCCTCTCACCTTTCAGTCTGTTTATATAATTTCAGCCCTAACCACCACAGATAATTCATGAGCCCTAAAGTTTTTCTCTTGTATATATTGCTAAAAGGCAGTATGCAGGTCCTGGGATCTCTCTGTCTGTCTTTCCCTCTCCCTCCCTCTCCCTCCCTCCCCCCCCCCTCTCTCCCCTCCAATAGAGCACAATCTTCACTCAGACTAAACAGCATTTTACTTGCTTGGCAAGATCACAAATGACAAATTCCTCAGAAATCAACCTACAGAATAAAGGATAAAACTCAAAACTTTGCCTAGAACCTACATTAAATCAAACATACAAAAACAAAAAACACCACACCAACTTTTAAGAAGACACTATGTCCTTTCCTTGGAAATACAATGTGGCCCAAAACAAATTACAATAGAATACCAAGTACTCAAATAACATATGAAAAGAAAAATCACCAGGGGGAAAAAAGGGTTAACTAGTCTCAATAATAAAATGAAACGTTATCATCCAACACAAACTCTGATGAATTATCACAACTCCGACAGACTACTACTGGGATCATATTTCTCTCTTCATGTTCAATACCAGACAGCAGGTCTAAAAGCAAATAGCTTTTACACGTCAACTCTTAACCAAGCCCAACAATTTAACACAGGAAAGAAAATGTAAACTTAGAAGCAAACTTAGAACAGTATTTTTACCTTTACCTGACGTTCTCCCGGGAGACACAGAAACACGGCTTTTTCTTGTACGGTTTGACTGCTGGGGTGTTGGGGAATGACGAGTTTTTGGTGGTGGAGTAGCGGGAGGTGATGGCCTGTGCCTTCGCCTTGGAGGACTTGCTGAAGGAGATAACCTACGAGTTTTGCGAGGGGGGCTGGACGTCCTCTTGGGAGGTTTCTTTGGTGGTGACCGGGAACGAGACGAGGAGGATGATGAGCTACTCCCAGACAATGATGCTGATGAACGTCTTCTTCTGTGGAATAAAGTATCCATATTCACAAACTGCGTCTTTACAAAAATGACCTTACAGATACGTAGTATACACAAAAATATAGCTACTTTTATCCAACTTTTGAGTTTATGTAGCTAAGCACATAAATGAGTTTTTAAAAAACCAGGAAACAAAAGCAGAACCTACTACAGGAAACAGCTAGTTCTGAGACTAAATAGAAATAACTAATTCTGATAAATGTTTCTGAGTTGTCTCCCAAGTTGTAAAATTTGTCAAGTTGAGTGCTAGGTGATAGAGTAACTAACCAGTCTTTCTTCCTTAGGAATGATATTGGTGTTTTGGAGTTTGCATTCAAAATGTGGGAAGAAAAGTATTTTTTATTTAATAATACAACACTGAGCAACCTTTATTTGGAATTTTTAGGGAAAGTTGCGAGATTAAGAATTCATTTAGCTACATAAACTTAGAAGCAGGGGCCTCTCGAATTCTGCGGCATAATCTGTGGTTAAGTTCTGTTGCAATTATGTGTACCTGCAGAATTCACCTTTGGCAGAAGAATTCCTGAGAACCTGAAAAAAAGAAACCCTACCTTAAGTGTGAGATTAAAAACTGGCTGAAAGGGAATCTTACACAATCTGTAAAATATTTTGACTGCTAAATGGCTTAGTTAAGCACAATTAAAACATGCTGTTTGCAAAACTCCAATATAAGAAATAGCTGTTTCCCACTAATTTTGTAATACACTAGCATTACTTTCTCCTAAGGAGAAATAATCAATTTCAGAAAATTTTAGGGAAGTGTGATACCTGAAATGACCAATCATTTATATCATTAGTCTTATCTGTAAGTAGTAAAAAGCACATCTATAATTCTGAATAGTGGCAGTAAATATAATGTGACAAACTCTTCCCAAAGTAAATTTTTTTTGGTTAAGTATAAAACTTTGAAGAACCTAACTGCAGAAATAAATCTTACTGAGGTTATTTGATATTTTCCCTCTTTACTCACAAGTTGACTTATTTATTTCCCTGAAAAAAAATCTTAAAAGACTCAAACCTAAAACATCTTGTCAAGGGCTGAGGTGTATAGCTCAATGATTATCATGATCAAGACTCTGAGTTCAATGACTAGCACAAAAAAATGAAAAAAAAAATCTGTGTCAAATATAATCTGGTTTAATTATACTTCCTTTCAAAAACAAGCAACATGTATTACCAAGAAGGCACAAGTCAGGTGTGGTGGTGCACGCCTGTAGTCCCAGCACTCAGCAGGCTGAGGCAGAAGGATTGCAGCAGGTTCAAGGCCAGCCTTGAACTGTGTAGTAAGTTCAAGATCTGAATTGAGATCTGAATTTCAGTTCTGAGTTCAAGACCTGAATAGCGAGACTCTCTCAGAAAACAAAACGAACAAAAAAAGGCACAAAAACTGCTGCCAGTGCACCAAGCCTCTACTCTGGTAGATTTAATCAATCTTTTTGTTATTTTTGTATGTCCAAGATGCAAATATTGAATCTTATGGTCAGAGCAATTTAGGAAAAAGAAAACTGGTATTGGCAGTTACATCTATGTCTAATCTCTTCAAAAGTAACCAGACAGCAAACTACTAAAAATGGTTATTTATATGAAATGAGAATGTACATAAATTTCAATTTATAGTATTTAGTTGAACTGTTTATGATAATCGTCAGTATTCAGACAATGGCAAAGACACAGTAAAAAAAAATTAAGTAACTATAGCAATGGCTTACTTTAGTTGGGGCTTGTTTTGTTTTTTGTTCTTGTTTTTTTTTTTTTTTTTTTGAGACAAGGTCCCACTATGTAGCCCAGGCTGGCCTTAAACTAACAGCAATCCTCCAGTCTCATCCTCCTGAGTGGGGGGCCATAGGCATGCACACCATGCCTGGCTAGCAATTTAAAATTGGTAGAAGTAGCTGACTTGCCCTGTAGTCAGCCACTTTTCGAAAGTCAGTGGCAAGTTAAGTCAAAAGGAAGACAGCCAATTCTCTTACTTGGTAAAGTCCTAAAAGATAAGTTAACATGAAGTACGTACAGTATTTTGAATTTGTGAAGGCCACACTAAACATTTTTCACAACTCATAAACAGCACCATACTTCAACTACAAAGAGCTCTTTAGAAAACAGTAATATCCCGTAAGGTCTTTCTCCCAGTGAGACAGTAATTTAAATTATCCCAAAATAAAGATTATCCTAAAGTGTCAGAATTTTTGACACTTCCAAACTAAAGCAAACAACAGCAAAACACCTCACCGTCTTACTGGAGATCTACTCCTCCTATGCCTTGGAGGAGGTGGCATTCGTCGTGGTGGAGTTCTTCTCCGAGGAGATGGTCTCCTTCTCGGGCTTGGCCGCCTTCTAGGTGAGTATGATCTGCCATAACAAACACAATTCAGCCGAATAAATGGGGAGCAAAGAATTTTTTTACATCGTTTTTTTCCAATCATCCTTTTTTTTCCAAGATAAGACTTCCCCAAGTAGTTCAGGCTGGCCTCAAACTCACAGTGATCCTCCTGCCTCAGCTACCTGAGTGCTAGGATTACAGGCATGACCACCATGCCAGGCCTCCAACGCTACATTTTAAAATTAAAATTTTTGTTCTTTTGAGATAGGGTCTCATTATATACCCCAGGATAGCCTTGAACTGATTACCCTTCCGTCTCAGCCTAAGGGCTGGAATCACAGGCATGTGTCACAATCCCTGGCTTAAAATATCAAGGGTCACAATTTTCAACTCGCGTACTCACGTATCAACTTTTATGGTACACAAAAACACAATGAGTTTATAAATTCCCTATTCAAGTGCAAAGAACATCGCTATTAAATACTTTCTGCTGTTTTGAAATTAGGAAGACAAGCACACTACAATCTAAAACCCAGGCTGAGTTGAAGGCCATGACTCACCTTGATCGGGACCGATGCCGCCTGCGTGGTCGAGTATGAGAAGGAGAGCGAGAGCGGGTCCGAGACCTGGATTTGGAACGTGACCGGGATCTTGGCCGGGTCTTTTCCTTTTCTTTTTTGGAATTTTTCTCCGGAGAAGGTTCTTTAGGTTCTGGCATGGGTTCAGGCTTGGGAACTTTCAGGATGTCACTGTGAAAATAAAGCTTATTTTTTTCCTCCTCTTTTACTCAGTCATCTAAGTGAACACAACAATGAAATTACGTATTTCTTTAAAAAAAGTTCTCAAATTCCACGAAGACTTCTTTCTGCCTCCAAAATACATGTACAGATCAGCAGAAACTAAGGAATGTGTACAAACTCTAACTATGTATATATTTTAGAAGTACAAAGTTGTCCAAAATACACCAGGAGTGGTGGCACATGCCCTTAACCCCAGCCCTCAGAGGCTGAGGTAGGAGGATCACCGAGGGAGTTCTAGGCCAGCCTGGGCTACACACTGAGTTAAGGGTCAGCCTGAACTACATAGCAAGACCCTGTTTCACTCAAGCCCGTCCCCCAAAGGTTGTCCACAATGTACTGGGGAGAACATCAATTTCATGGTATATAAAGTATCAGTAATGGTCTAACAGGCAGCGATCACCTTTTTTTTTGGGGGGTGTCACTATATTCTCCCATATAATTAATTTCTTCCCTCCCTGCGTCCTCCTTCCTTTCCCGTCTCAGCCTCCCAAGTGGCGGGATTACAGGTATGAGCCACCATGCCTGGCCCTCCCATGTAATTTCAATTTACCAAGCTAATTTTGTACTTTAAAAAATCTACAAGGAAAGTAAGTACTTTGTTCTGAATGCAGGGATGTCATGTTTGCAGGAACTACTACCAGTCTAAAACCATGACCAAATATACATTTATATACTTGCCTAGTAGATGTGGCCTCTTGTACTGAAGGTTCTTTTACTTTCACTGAAGGTTCAGGGAGCTCTGGAGTTTTTTCCTTCTTTTCTGGAGCAGGGGAAGGACTCCGGCTCTTGGTTCTGTGACGGGGAGATCGAGAATGACTGCGCTTCCTCTCTCTCCTCACAGGGGAAGATCGTCTTCTTGGGGAAGGAGATCTGGACTTGCGTCTAGGATAAAAGCAATTTTTTCAAGTTTTTGACTAGCATGGATTGGAAGGAGTCAAAGGAGAAGAACCTTTTAAGTTACCCCACTATTGTTTACTCTGCAAAGTTTCCTACGGAAGATGTCTATCAGTTACTTGACAGAGAAAGGACCAAGAGAAAACAAGAGGGCAAGCAAATGAAAGAGAACATCCTCACGTGTGTCAGTTATAGAGAGAAAAGCACTGCTTGGAACTCTAGACTTAGCTTCTTAATTATCCCCAGAGATCACTTAAAAGATTAACTTCTCGGAGCTGGGGATTTAGCTCAGCGGCAAAAGCGCCTGCCTGGCAAGCGCAAGGTCGTGAGTTCGGTTCCCGGTACCGGAGAAAAACCAAAAACCAAAAAAAAAAATTAAAAAAAAAAAAAAAGATTAACTTCTCAGAGGAAAGGAAGATGCTTAAGAATTAATAATAAATCAATCCTAACACAGCAGTGTTTAGATACAGACAGGTATTACCACCTGCCTCAGCAGGGAGAGGTTTCACATGCCAAAAACATAACTGGCACAATTAAAGCAGTGTGTTCCTCAGAAGAAAAATACCACACTTGTAAAAGACATTTTGAAGAGCAAAGGCCCCCCTTCCCTTTTTAATAGGAGTTTGGCTACCTTGAAAGTGGTGTTTTCTTCTTTACAGGGAAACAAGAGACCAAGTCCATCAACAGTCAAATTGTTACCATTAGGACTGATGTTTAACTCTAGAAATACTACTTCCCTAAATAGGTTTTAGTATCAAACACAACTGCAAGAAACAAAGAATGCTCCACCTCCTCCTTTTACGTATTAATTCTAACAGATTTATGAACGAAATAAGAAAAATCCTAAAAATGAAAAGCCTAATGGAATTCTCACCTTTTACCAAAAATACAGTAGAAGCTGAATCATGGGTTTAAAAATATGACCCTAACAATAGTCTTAGTGGAGGCAAGAAAACAAATAAATGACCTGGAGTTGGGTGCAGCACAGCCATCTAAGGGGAGCAGGGCAGGGGACTGGTTAAGTAGTGAACAAATGCCCGAGAACAGACTTCTAATGAAAAGGAAATGGAAAGAAAGAATGAGCCAGGATACAATAAAAGCTTAAGTAAATGCTATATTTAAACTAAAGCAATAGAGGAAAAGTCTAGATTTTTATTTAGAAATTAAGAGCTAGATAACCAGATTTTAAATAGTACCATTTTAGTCAAAATGATCTGTCTCAAACAAAACATACAAGATTCTTTTGGTCCAGAGGCAAAACATATCTCAACCATTAAAATGGAAGGAACTACCTGAGTAATATTGCTAGATCTTCCTTTTAACTGTGAGATGTCTGTGTCGCAGCATTTAAGTCCTACAATACCTATACAACACTAGGTACGCTTGCTTTATAGAATACCTTCTTGGGCTTCGAGACCTCTCCCTTTTTTCTCTGCTGCTTTCTTTTTCTTCCTTATCCCTCTTATCTTTGTCTTCGTCCTGCTTTTTCATCGATGCCAATTTTTCTTGTTCAATCTGCAAGGTCGGAGTTTTAAAGAACACATAGTTGAACGTTTGAGAACATGCAAACCAAAATATACACACTTGATAAAAACCAATGTTATAATTATCATTTCATCAGCCTTATGTTTTTTTTTTTGTTTGTTTTGTTTTTTTTTTAGTACTGGGAATAGAATTCAGGACCTTGCGCTTGCCACGGAGGCGCTTGTGCCAGTGGGCTATATCCCTGGCCAGCCTTGTGTTTTGAACAGGACTGTTCTCTCTTCATTCACATGGCAGGGCACACAGCACAACAAGTAGACACTTCTTTATAAACAAACACTTACAATTAATTCCTATGTCCTTACACTTTAGGC